CTCTCTCTCTCTCTCTCTCTCTCTCTCTCTCTCTCTCTCTCTCTCTCTCGCTCTGCTCTGGTCACAATCGCGAGGGTTTCCAGATTCTCGAAGAGCGGTATGTATTCTGGAGAGGGGATTGAAGCGGGGGCACCGTCCATGTACTCGTGACCATGTGGAGGGTGCGTCATGTCCTAGCCAGCGTGTTGCAGAGGCGCTACCAACACGACGTGCTCTCGTGTTGGACGTCATCGGCTTTGATGGGCGCGTGCAATGCTGCAGTGCTCCACGCTCTGTTGACGGAGTTGATGCTATCGCTGACGTTTCCAGGCGGGAGGACGCGGGGTCACTTGCTTTTCACAGATAGACTGCGAGAACCTCAAATGAAACAGCTTGAAATACGCATGTGGGTATGAAATGTTCTTACAGCTGACGGAGGAGCAGGCTTAAGTGACCTGCTGGCGAGCAGTTTTCATGGTTCGGGTAGAGGTTGATGTACGGACAGTACAACATCTTTCAAAAATGGTTCAGAGAAAGGCACCAACACACCTCCACTGGACGACGGCGTCCTCGGCCGCTGCCAAGAATTTCCTCGTGCCAGCTACAGCATGCGGGTAGTCTTTATGCGTCGGTAATCCTGTGAAACCATTCGATCATGTTGTCACTCGTTGTGCCGGCCATGGGCAAAATTACTCTTACTGCCTGCTGCTCCATCTCGCCCTGCGTACCAGCTGTTGTTCAAGATAGTCTAGGTGGTATCCTCGCAACCCTTCTGATGGCTAGATCATGGGCTGGACTCCCGGCGAAAGCGAGCTTTTCCTTGCAAAAAATGAGTTTTTTTCTCTCGCTTGCGTTTTGGTTGCGGAAACGGCCACAGTACACTGATGTACGTCTGTGTCGCTCTTTGAGGGATGGGAGTGTTGCAGTTGCCAAGGCAAGCACCTCAGGAGGGGTGGGAAGGGCACATCAGGGAGCGGAACCCTCCTGTGTGACCGCGGCAGAAATGCACTGCTACCACAATAATCGCTGATAGAACAAGAGAAGAACACCAGAGCAAAGACTTCAATTGCTGCCTTGAAGTGCCCACTCCTCGGTGATCGTGGCATGGGCCGGGTGCTTAGAGTTGTGCTTCACCAAAGGTCGGGTTCACAAGACAGAAAAAGGAACACATACATACTGTAGGACCCTGTACAGGGTTCGCCCGCTGACGGTACACAGCAGAACCTGTCAAACGGATCTTCATGCGGAAACATAACCACGCCATTCTGATTAGGAATCCAATGGCCGAACAAACTGGCAAAGAACTCTTTCCGTGCGTCGCGACCTGTGGTGAACAGAATCACAGCAATAAACGTGCATCGCTCGCCCTCGATATGAGTAAGGTAAATATGTAGGACACGGCGGGGTTGGAGTAAAACGTGCACCGGAGATGAGGGAATTCATTGCCCCTTCGCCTGCTCGTCCTCGAAATGATTCACAAAAAAAGGCAAAAATCATTGCTGCCTCCTTTAAACAAGCACCCTCGTGCTGCAAGTTGCACCGCTGAATAGTGCTCGAATCAATTTACAAGATCTGCGGCGCCACGTTGGCTACAGAGCGAAGCAGGAGCCTAAATTACGAAAATGAGAGGAGTATTCGACCAACAAAAATACACCGTGCCCCAAGGCATGAAGCGCGTCGGCGACGCTGATCTCTTTGGTGCCTGCCCGCCGCACTTCGACGCGACTCAGGTTGTCTTCTGCTGTAGCGCTCAAGGGGAGCAACACCACAAAACATGCAATATGTAGCGCTTTACGTTTAACCAAAAAACAGGCCGGGGCAAAACAACCGCCGCATCTACATTGACATAAAGCACATTTCACCTGGTGCAAAACAAGGACAGCACGTTACATACTTCATACACCGAACGAGACGCCAGGATAGAGAGCGAGGCAAATAGCAATGGGGAGAAGAACGGGGCCCCAGCGTCGCCCATACCAAGGCCGACCCTCTAAGCCCCCACCCCGCCCGCGCCCACAACTTCCCCGACCGCCCCGCCGCCACCGCTGCTACCATCGAGCTGAGAAATCAACAGTTGCCGGATACCAACGGCAACCGTCACGTGAACCGCGCGGACCGAAATCCGGAACGTTCCGGAGGCCGGCTCGACCTCCAGGCGCAGCATCGCCCCGAGAGATATCTTGTGCCCCTGCGGGTTGAGCGAGCCGGTTCGGAGAGAGCCGGCCGCTCGTAGGGAGGTCCCGCTGTCGTTGCTGTGGGAGGTAGAGTCCGGTCCCTCGGTGATCCCTGCAACGAAAAGGTTCCACAAAAAAACGTCGGGGCGTGTGAAGGAGAGAGGGGTATAATGCGAGATAGCTTCGATTCGAAGGAGAGGTAAGGCTGGGGTGTGGTGAAAATTCCTGCAAAGGACAGGATGGCCCGTTCCCCAGCATCTCCGAAAGTGTTTTTTTTCCTCCCCCGGTGAAAGTTTGCCGTCGGGGTTGGGTTTTCGTCGCTTGGCAACGACGTTGTAAGACAAGCCAAGTCACTTCGTGAACTCGGCAACCAGGTAACCGGTTTTTTTTTTGCCTCCATTTTTTTTTTTTGGCGGTAACC